TTGCTGATTGATTTTCTGGAGGGCCAAAGAATGGTAACATCTGCTTACTATCAGAGTGTTTTGAGAAAGTTAGTCAAAGTTATAGCAGAAAGATGCCCAAGAGAGCTTCACCAGAGTCCTCCTCCACCACAACAACGTTCCTGCTCATTCCTCTCATCAAGGGCAATTTTGTAAGTTTCCATGAAAAATCATTAGGCATACACCTTGCAATCCTTATTTGGCTCCTTCAGAATTATTTGTTGGCAATCTTAAAAAAAATTTAAAAAGCATCCATTTTTCTTCAGCTAATAATGTAAAAAAGACTGCATTGACATGGTTAAATTCCCAGCACCCTCAGTTCTTTAAGGATGAACTAAATGGCTGGTATCATCCCTAATAAAAGTGTTTTCAACTTGATGCAGCTTATGTTGACAAGTAAAATAAAATCTATAGTTTTATCTCATATAAAAAGTTGTTAATGTTTACAAATGTCTTTGGCTACAGTTAGTAGAACCAATACTGAATAGGGTTAGCGCAAGTATGTGTTTTTCAATGACTCTCTTTGCAAGCTATCCTACTGGGCTTTATTTTAGTCATTTCATTTTCTTTCCTTTTCTTTTTCTTTTTTTTTTTTTTTTTTTGAGACGGAGTCTTCTTCTGTTGCCCAGGCTGGAGTGCAGTGGCGCAATCTTGGCTCACTGCAAGCTCCACCTCCCAGGTTCACGCCATTCTCCTGCCTCAACCTCCCAAGCAGCTGGGACTACAGGTGCCTGCCCCCATGCCCCGCGCTAATTTTTTGCACTTTTAGTAGAAAAGGGGTTTCACCGTGTTAGCCAGGATGGTCTCGATCTCCTGACCTCATGATCCGCCCACCTCGGCCTCCCAAAGTGCTGGGATTACAGGCATGAGCCACCACACCCAGCTCATTTTAAGAAAAATAAAAGTTGAAAGTAACCTCTTACAGCAGATTTCACCTTTTAGTGAATGTAAGAATCAACAAGTTTGCTGAAAATGCATATTCCCAAACCTCAACATAATAATTTGATTTCCGCAGATCTGGAGTAGAGTGCAAGGATCTACACTTAATAACAATGCACTAAAGCCCAACTTCCTCCTGAGAATTCCACGAAAAGCTGCTCTTCAGCAATATCCTATGGAAGGCCAATCAGCTAAATGACTACATCATAATCTCTGGCCTCCCTGCACCTGAAAATAAGTGACCACGTGCTTGGCCCCCCTACACACACAGTATGGATTTGTTGCTGGGAAGTGGTTGTCCACCCAGGGATTACAATAACCAGCCCACCATACATCTAGGTATCGGCATGAAAGAGGTTCACACCAATAGAATGTGAGCAAAAGTGGTGTGTATCATATATAAGCCAAGGTTTTTTAGAAGAAGCTGTACCTTCTCTAAGCTGTCTTTCTCTTTTGTCTCATGGTTAGATACAAATAACAATAAAACCCTAAGAAATTACAAAGGCCCCAAACAGAGGAGAAACAAATCTCTGAATTATTTCACAGAGAACGGCCTACCAACTATGAACATTTGCTTCAGAATGTTAAATGAATAAAAATGAACTTCTATTAGGTAAAGTCACTAAATTTGGGGGTTACTTATAAGCATCATCCTAATATATCAGGCATGTGTGTATATAAACAACTGTTTAACTGCATATACATGTACATATTCATTTAATCAACAAAATGTATTGAAAATCCATTATATGCTCAAGATACAATCATGAGCAAAACCATACGCAATCCTTATCCTCATGAATCTCAGAATTATTGAAGCATGTGTGTATAAATGTAGGTTTTTCTATGTGGAGTACTTGAACAGGGTAGGGTAGACAATGAAATAATATAAATGAGTAAGTAGAACTTTCACTTCCAATTAAGATAGAGGAATAGGGATTAGATTTACCACCTGTCTGACACAATTAAAACTCTGAAAAAATATAAGAAACAACAATGTGAAGCATTTGATATTAGGCAATAAAAGACAGTGATCCCCCAGAAATGAAAAATAAAAGGTGTACCCCAGATTTGCCCCAGCTTATTATCTGAAGAGATGAAACAGTTATTAGAAACAAAACATTTATTAAACTGTATCCCAACATATTAAGCAGAGCCAAGTAAAATATAAAAAAGATCCAAATCAAACTTCGAGATGAAAACTACAATGTCTAGTTTAAAAATATACTGTATGAGATTAACAGATTAGATATTTCAGAAGAAAAGAGTAGTGACTTTGAACACATAGCAATAGAAACTATCCACAATGTAACAGAGAGAGGAAAAAAGGATTTTAAAATGAAAGACTATAACACCAGTGAGCTGTGAGATAAGTTTAAGCCATCTAATGTACACGTAATAGGAATCCAGAGGAAAGAAGAGACAGAGGAAGAATGGAAAACTTTTTGAAGACACAAAGGTCAAAATTTTCCAAATTTTATGAAAACTAACAACCTACAGCTTCAAGAAGCTCAACAAATCCCAAGCATAAGAAAGCTGAAGAAAACGATACCAAAGCAAATCATAATCACATTGCTTATGCCAGTGAAAGAGGACTCTCATAAGCAGCCAGAGAGAAAAGACCTAACATGCAGAGGAACAAAGGTAAGGGTAACAGCAGACTTCTTGTGAGAAACAATGTACATGCTTGAAGACACTGAAGAAACATCTTTACAGTACTGAAAGAGAAAAAAAAAAGATCAATCTTAAATTCTTTACTCAGTGAAAATATCTTTCAAAACACAGATATACGAAAGCTAAAAGAATTTATCACCATCAAACATGCACAACAAAAATGTAAAAGGATGTCCTTCAAGCCAAAGGAAAAATGATACCAGTTGGAAATCTGGATCCACATGAAGAAATAAATACCAAAGGAATGAACACACAGATGCCCATGTAGCTAACATTTCTGGTGTTTATCTATGTAAAGAAATATGATTCTTTGTTATTATTTAAATCTCTTTAAAAGATAACACTGTTTAATGCAAAAAAATAGTGTCTTGTGGGGTTTAAACACACAAAGAAGTAAAACATACAACAACTATTACACAAAAACTGGGGGGGGGGGGGAATAAAAGTATACTTTTGTGAGGTCTGTACACCAGATATAAAGTAATATATCGCCGGAAGGTAGACAAGTGATAAGTTAAATATGTCTACTATAAACCCTAAAGCAATCACTAAATTAACAAAGATAAAAGCCACAGGAAGATGAAATTGTTTTAAAAGTATAGAATTAATTCAAAAGAGAGGATTCAAAAAGGAAAAAGGAACAAATGAGACAAATGGAAAACAAACAGTAAGATGCTAAATTTAAACCAAACTATATCATTATCCATTAAATGTAAATAGTCTAAACACCAATTAAAAGACAGAGATAATTACACAGGATCAAAAGAACAAGACCTAACTATACACTATCTATAGGAAATGGGTATTAAATAGGAAGACACAAACATTTAACCAAGTAAGTGAAAAGTATAGAAAATGGTCTCTCAAGATAATAGGACTAAAGAAAATGGCTGTTGACATAGTTTTGATTCACAAGTTGTCACAATTCAGGAAGTATTTTTATATTCAAGAGTCCTTTTTAAGCCTTGAGATCTAAGTAAATACTAATACTATCTTACACTCTTCATAAAAGTCACCACATGTATGTGTTCACACACCAACATTTCAATTATCTCAACAGTATCTCTAAACATAGCAAATTAGAGATTTCAAAAGAAATTCTCAAGTGAGCTAAGAGATTAGCAATCCATTCTGATCAATAACCACATGTTCTCAAAGATGGATATATATACATTCAAAATTTTACCTCTATATAATGTGTGATTTTACTAAAATACTGTCTATTAAGACAACAAAGTCTGAGTCAGATGACAGAAACAAAATGCAACCACATCTCACCACATCCTTTTCCTTTGGGAAGGAACTGGGGATTAAAAAAATGAATATACTATGCTCATGAGAGACAAGTATGCTAGGGAAAGGGTGGGAATATATGTTTGTGAAATGTCACAGTAGGCTGGAAATTACACCTATAAATGTTTGCCCTACCTTCTCAATTTTCTAAATGTGAATTGGTATTTCACCTAGTTTGTCAGGTTTATATATGCAGTTTTTCATATTATTCCATTATACTTTTGATCTGAGTCTCCAGTGACATCCTACATTTCACTCCTATACTAATAATCTGTCTTCTTTTTGTGAGTCTTGCTAGAGGTTTGCAATTTTATTAATCTTCTTGAAGAACCAACATTTTGTCTCATTCATTTTCTCTATCTTTTCTGTTATCAATTTCATTGATTTTTGCTCTTTATTATTTCCTTCCTTCTACTTGCTCTGGTTTTACTTTGCTCTTCTTTTTATAGCTTCTTAAAGCGGGAGCTTAGATTGTCCATTTGAGACTTTTCCTGTTTTCTAATGTATGCATTTCATTCTATAAATTTCCCTCTGAAATTTAACTGCAGACTCAGAAAAAGAATAAGATATGGCCACAGGTTTGGAAATAAATAGCAGAAACTTTAAAGATGATCAAATGGGAAACACAATAATTTACCAAGAAAAGAAAATTATCCAAGATAAGATACAGAAAATATTCAAACTCAGCTTAAACTCCTCAAAACAAAATGACTTAGACTGAATGACTTCAAGTAAATAACCATCTAGTCAGCCATGTAATAAGGAGGGAAAACCCTGCATGTGGAATACGGCCCACTCAATCTGCATTACAGATAATACAAGACAGGGAGCAGGCAATGCAGTGGGGCACAGAAGAGTTAACAGAACCACATTTTTCCAGTTAGTAGTCTTAAATGAACTTCTTTACTACCCAACCAATTTCACGGATTCCTAAATGCTGCCTAACAGGAGCTGAGGCTGGGCATATGTGAAGGATAAATGTACAACTGTCATGAATTCATTTCTGTAGGTTGCCCCACCCCATGGAGATATATTAATTTCTAATATATGGAAGAATAAAATATCTTCTTTCTTACCCTCTGAGCTTTTGCGAGTTCTTCTTTTAATCGTTCATAGCCCTTTTCTCTAACTTCCAAAACAGATGGGCTTCGTAAACGAGACAGACTATCAGTACTCAACCCAAAAATATCATCACTGCCATCGCAAGCCTCTGTTATAGTAGCACCCTGTAAAAACTCTCTCTCTGCATTATAGTTGTCCTTTCTTGTAGTTAATTTAGTTAATCCAGCTGTGACTCCAGAGGTAGAACAAGGTGCTGGGTCTGTAACATGAAAGCTGTAAAGGACAAAGACAATTTTCAGAAAATATCAGCATATGCTCCAATAGAACTGGCTTAAAACACAGCTCTAGAACTGTGCTACCCAATTTGGTAGCTTTCATATTTAAATAAATAGTATGTCCTCAGTCATAGCCACATTTCAAGTGCTCAGTAGCTACATGTGGTTAATATCTATCATTCACATTAGATAGCACAAAAAATAGAACATTTTCATCAACAGAGAAAGTTCTACAGGACGGTGCTACTCAAGAGCAGGGGTTAACAAATTATAGCCTGCAGGCTAAATGAAGCCTTCCACCTGTTTTTATAAGGCATCAATGAGCCAAGTACAGTTTTTACAATTTCAGATAGTTGAAAAGAAATCTTTAAGAGTATTTTGCGACAAATGAAAATTAAATGAAATTCAAAATTCTGCATCCATATATGAAGTTCTATTGGAACACAGCCACTCTAATTCATTTACATACTGCCTATGGTTGCTTTCAAACTCTAAAGGCAGTGTTGAATAGCTGCAACAGAGACTGTATGGCTAGCAAAGCCTAAAATACTATCTGGTCCTTCACATAAAAAGTTTGTCAACCCTATTCTAGAACGTTATCATGTATTTCTTTACACAGGCACACGTAAGTTATTCAAATTTTCTAAAAATAGTAAAACTTAAAATACAGTAACTAAGCAAACTGTCCGTTAAAAAAAAAATCCAAAATACGTGATTTACTTATTTCCTACCTGATACTAGATATTTCCGCACAATTTAAACGTCTGGGGGATGAATACACAGGTTGTGTAGGAAGTTCAGAAACATCTAATGCATTTGCCTGGATAGGTACAGAGGATAAAGCTGAAGGGTGTGGCCGGTAGATGACACTTGGTGAGGTAATCTGCTCTTGAGTTCCCGATTCATACACACCAAGAAGGTCCGGAGAAGTAGGTGAAGCAAGGTTTACTTCATGGAAGCCTTCCAGGGGATCATTAGCCATAGCAAAAGCCTCATCATAAGATAACCTATGTTAAAACAAAAATCAGATACTTATTTTTAAATAACATTTAAAACTAAATTAAAATGTATAAATTATAAAATGTGTTTAACAGTCCATTGTAAATTACAAGCTTACAATAAAAGAGCCTTTTAAAAAAACCACTATCACATGGTGGTATATGCCTGTAGTACCAGCTGCTCGGGAAGATGAGGTGGGAGGATTGCTTGAGCCCAAATGGAGGCTGCAGTGAGCCGTGATCACAACCCTACACTCCAGCCTAGGTAACAGGGCAAGACCTTGTGTCCACTCAAAAAACAAAAACAAAAACAAAAACAAACCACCACAATCACTTAACATTTACTAAGCAATCTCAGAGTATAACTACTATAAAAGGCAAACAATCTGATTTAGAAGAAACCTGAAAGTGATAAGCAATTATGTTAGTGAGAATAATCAATTAGTATGAGGAATGAATAAAAATTGGCTTAATTTCTTAAAATATTTTAAAATTATTAAATGTTTATATTAAAATAAATTCT